TAGATTAACAAACTTAATCTATTCAATTAAATAAAGAAAAATGTAAACGAAAAAAATCAATATGCATACTAACTACTATATTCTACGTAATACTCGTGTCTAGGTCAATAGACATATCTATATATGATGACCAGACATCAAAGAAGACGAAAAAAAGAAAAGAAAGGAGTAGAGCAACAGGACAAAGAGAAAACGAAAAAAAATAGAGAAGGGCAAAGACAAGAACAAAGAAAAGTGTGCATAATGTTGTGGACACAAATCATAACAATAAGTTTCAACATTTGAAACATTTCTCTTTATAACCGTAACAGAAATAGAGAAGTATGAAGATCATGATTTAAAATGAATCATTGTCAATAATTTTAGTGATATTATAAATAAAATTTAGAAAAAGTAGTAAAATAACAGACATCTACGTGATCATTGATTGTTTATTTGAAATATTTCATGAGCTAGTGTCCTTATCAGCAAATAAAAGTTGTAGATAAAAGTAATTTCTTTTTCTACTCGATTCTTTTTACTGAGAAATTACAGTGAGTATAGGGAATTCCAGTTTTCAGTTATGGACAAAATTATATAATTATACATGACTATTACTAAACATATTGATTAAATACCTAATTTTTTATTGCGATCATTGTAAATAAATGCATCTGTTTTTAAACTATAAATAACTGTATTTCTCTACTTCCAAGCAATTAAAAGAATAAACAAAAAAACATAAAATAATAAAAATTATATCCATACAGTATCATTCCATATCCATCGTCGTGTCTTATCGATTTCAGGAGGATGTTTCCAATACTTGGCAGGTCTCGATATATGTAATTCTTTTATTGATGGTACTTTATGTAGGATGTTTTGTTCAATAAGTATGGAAGTTTGGATAAAGCATAAATTAACACCCATTTTTTCAGCATAGATTAACGTATAATTATATGCACGACCAAGTGCTGTCATTGCTAACATACTAGCGCCGTAATAGTCTGAACCCGTCCATCGGCGAGAATCTTGATTAGGATCAACAACACGATTTTCATTTGGTGGAATTGCATAATTATATTCAATTACAACTACACGTGCATGAAATCGTTTTGCTTGTAGAATTGATTTCCATACAAAATAATCATCAAAACTGACAAAAAAAAAGGGAAATGAAATTAATTCAAAATCAAAATATATCTTAATCCTACTCAATATCGATTGAAAGAAGATCAATTAAAGGTGGTGTTTTATATTTTGCTAATAGATCATTGATATTTTCTGGCGTGATTCTTTCTTTGTGAAGATTAATATTTGGAATATCATGACCTCCATCCATCATTAAACCTTGCCAACCTAGTTCACGAAGAAAACGTGTGTTACATTGGTCACCATTTGAAACGCCAAATTCTACAAAATGTGGTGGTTTATTAATTGTACCAATGTTTGTAAATATCCATAAGAGT